GACACGCAGCGCTGGGATGAAATATCTTTAATGGAGGGAAGAGGAGCCCCAATGATCCTCTCTACTGTTCTCACAACTGTCCTCACCTTCTTCCAGTCTGAGGCGCTGCAGCCTCCACACCACACAGTGAGACAGCTGGTCAGAACGCTCTCTATGGTGCTTCTGTAGAAGGTGGTGAGGATGGGTGGGGGCAGGTGGTCTTCCCTCACCCTCGCAGGAAGTACATGCGCTTTCGTGCCCTCTTGATCAGTGAGGTGGTGTTTACATTCCAGATGAGGGTGTCTGTGATGTGCACAGACACAGATCTGAATTTTTCCAATCCGACCCAGGCCACTTGGCTCTGTGGTCCTCAATCCGATACGTATCTGATCTTTTCAGATGCGACCTATTTCTGAGTATCCAGGTCGCATTCCGACCTGAACACCATAAATACTCGACAAAGGTCACTATTCTGCATCTTGCTACGCAGAAGCGGCAAGAAAAACAACAACCATGAAGGATTATAATGCAGAGAGTAGTGTTTATGTTTAACCATATTTAAAAGATTACGTTTTTAAGGTTGTGAAAGATCGCTAGATGCAACCCAGCACTACCATCCATGTTTACTTCCGTAAACACAGAGCACGCTTGCTTGTGACATAATTGCATCCTCTACTGCACATGTGGGACACTTAACTGTATGAATGCAGTTCACACAGGAGATCACATACAAGTTGCATGTATTGGGAAATGTGAACGACAACGAAAAAAAATTGGAATAGAGCATTAATGCCTGCAGTGTGAACGTAGCCATTATGCAACTACAAGATGAGGTTGTCTGATATTTAAAAAAACAAAATCACTGGTATGAGTTATTAGCCTCAAATTGTGTATGAGAAAATGTAGAACAATGTTAAGAAAAAGGTGAATAAACCACCAGGGAGCTATGTACCTTCTGTTAGCCATCTCACTGCATCTGTAAGAACACTGTCTATTGTCTTGCGTGTGATTGTGTGTCTGTACATGCTTCTTGCTCATTCCCCGACAAGCTTAGGAAAGCACTGAGTTTTCAAGCAGGTAGTCTCAACAGTCTACAAGCTGAAACACTGTGTGTGCAGCCCCAGTGCAAACTGGCTCCCTTAACAATACAGCTAACACCTGCCAAGCTCTCATGTATAAAAATGTTATCAGAAACCTCTGTGATCGGCTTGATAGGCCTGTTATCAGCAGGCTGTACAGTACTGACATTGCTATATTTCCTCTTCAAATCTAATGAATCTCAAACTGTCCCTCCCCTTGTAAGATTAGTCATAACCGGTGTTGTGAAACGGAGGGGCCTGACCATGCTTCAGCTTGCCTGAAGTCGTTTCACAGTGTAACAAAAGGGTGTTGACCCACAGTTTCAGAAACTCTTTGTTCCAGATGACAGCATTACCTTTCATAACAACCTTGCTAAACATGTGCCAGTAATTCAAGACAACATTACAGCAGCCTGGCAAATTTTCAAGAAATTATGTCAAATATTAATTTTTAGCATTAAACTTTCCTCCCTAATGATAATTCAGACATTGAATTACTACAAATTTTTCAAAAGGATTCAAGCCAAGTTTTGGTTTTATGAGCCATTGCATTTCTTAATTACCCTGAATGACTTTAACTTGTACCGCAGAGGCTTCCTACAATCTCCATGATAAATCAAGTTAATTATTAAATAACTCCCTAGTTGCTCAAACTCTGTTTGATTGTTTTTGCCTCTTTAAATAAACATTTCAGGTTATTCATTTTATTGGTTTTTCATTGGCATATAACGTAATATCAAATTCCAAAAAGTACTTAAGTTTTATGTTTCTTATCCTATGTTTTTATGTTTCCACATCACTGGAACTGTCTACAGGGTCAGGTTAAGGTTAAAGAGATTCTGTAGAATCCAACAGAGCTGCTCTGCCCAGGCCTTCTGGGGCTGACACCATCAGGACCTGGTGACCTTTTACGATTCAGTATCTCCATTTCAGTTCAATTCTATTCAGTTTATCTATATAGCACCAATTCACAACACATGTCATCTCTAAGTACTTTACAGTTCAACCAGATGATACAGTCCAATTGATTCAAAGTTTTCTATCTAAGTAAAACCAGTTGATTGCATCGACTCATTGACTCGAATGTAATCCCTCACACTAACCATGCTTGTAGTGACAGTGGAGAGGAAAAACTCCCTTTTAACAGGAAGAAACCTCCAGCAGAACCAGGCTCAGTGTGAGCGGCCATCTGCTGAGGCCGACTGGGGTTCAAGGAGACAGAAGCAGAGAAACAAAAAGCAGCAGTAAATGGCGGCCCCGTCCAGGAAACACACAGCCAGGCAGACGAGCTGCGAGCCAGCTCACATATTCAGAGGATGAAGAGAGCACATCCAGCCAGTCACAGTCAGAGAAACAGGACTACACTGGAAAACAGGCCAATCTTCAACATCTATAAACAAAGGTGTTGATGGCAGCAGCACAGCTGATATTTCTCTCCAGGATGGAGTCACAGCCAAACAGGAACAGACCAGATGAAGCTACTATGAGAAAAAGCAGAGAGAGCAGAACGTTAGAGATTGAACTAACAGATTCTGCAGAGTGGGAGAATAGAGATAGAATGAAGCAGAATGATGAAATGGGGGTCCCTATGTCCTCCAGAAGTCTAAACCTATAGTAGCATAACTATAGAGATAGCTCAGGATAACCTGAGCCACTCTAACTACAGTATAAGCTTCATCAAAAAGGAAAGTTTTAAGCCTAGCCTTAAAAGTAGAAAGGGTGTCTGCCTCACTGACTAAAACTGGTAGTTGGTTCCACAGGAGAGGAGCCTGATAACTAAAAGATCTGCCTCCCATTCTACTTTTAGAAATTCTAGGAACCACTAGTAAAACGTTCAGAAGGAGAAAGTTAAGAGTCATCCAGGTTTTTATGTCTTCAGACATGCCTGTAATCTATGTAATGGGTTAACTTCATCTGGATTTATAGACAGATATGGCTGAGTATCATCAGCATAACAGTTAAAATTAATCCCATGTTGTCCAATAACTCTACCGATTGGGAGCATGTATAAAGTAAAGAGAATTGGTCCTAGCACCGATCCCTGTGGTACTCCACAGGTAACCTTTGAGCGTTTTGAAGATCTGTCATTAACATGAACAAACTGAAATCGATCAGATAGATAAGATTTAAACCTGTCTAGTGGTGTTCCTTTAATTCCAACAAAATATTCAAGTCTTTCTAAAAGAATATTATGCTCAACTGTATCAAATGCAGCACTGAGATCCAACAGGACGAGCACAGATACAAGTCCATTATCTGAGTCCATGAGAGTATCATTAGTGACTTTCACCAGAGCTGTTTCAGTGCCATGATGAGCTCTAAAGCCAGACTGAAACTCTTCAAAAATTCATTATGGTGTAAGTGATCCCAAACTTGTTTGGCAACTACTTTCTCAAGAATTTTAGACATGAAAGGAAGATTGGATATAGGTCTATAATTTTCCAAGTCATCCGGGTCAAGAGACGGTTTCTTAAGCAAAGGTTTAATTACAGCAACCTTAAAAGCCTTAGGTACATATCCCTGTAACAGAGATAGATTAATCACATCTAAAATGGAGGAGATCAAAGGGAATACCTCCTTAAATTATCTGGTTGGAACTGGATCTAACATACAAGTTGAAGGCTTAGATGAAGACAATAGTTATGCTAACTCTGAAAGTTAAACTGGATCAAAGCAGCCTAAACCCGTTTCAGATTCCATGACTACCTGAGATGCTGCTCCTCCCTCCATTGATAAACCAATCACAGGTAGATTTATAGACCATAGCATTGGATCAATGCAAATAAACAATACAATTGATAATTGTGAAGCATAGTTGTGCATTAGTGCTTAAGGAGACTAAAAGCATTGCTTAGTGTAGACAAAACCAATAACATTAGCCGTTGATGCTGTTTGCATTACTATCATTCCCATGGTTTGTTGATTAGTAGGAAAGATTTGTATGTTTAAGTAGTAGGTTGGGTCGTGAGTCTATTCTGGTAATATGTTGTGGGTGAGAAGTGAAAACATTTTGGAACCTCTGCTTTAAGAAGTGCGAAAAAGTAGGGAAAAGACTAGATTATTATCAGGATGTAGAAATTTCATTGTCTAAACTTACTAGGTTTTATTGTGATACTGAGAACATTTAAATGGAACAGAATCTTTAATCGACTTTGATTTTTGACAGATTACTTGGTTAGATTAAGCTCAAAGTTTACTAAAGAAATGTTCTAACAGGATAGGGTTATGAGGAAATACTGTTTTTTCCACACTCAATGCCAAGCATCAGCACAAGGTCCAGAGTATGATGACAGAAGTGCATAGGTCTGCACATGTTCCTAACAAAATCAGTTGAATCTAAGTTACCTTAAAAATTATGTTTCGGCTATCCTTTTGATTGTCAGCATGCATGTTGATGCCTTATCAGTATGTAACACGACATCAGACCAGGAAAGCGATGAACTAATCTGAAAAATAAGAGCAATGCTCTTGTTGAGATACAAAACATAAAACAAAGTGTTTTAAGGTGCTTTACAAGATCAAAGTGAGAAACTAAGTGTTAAAGATGTTTAAAAAACTGGCTTATATGGGTTTACCTGTAAATCCTCGGATTGAAGAAGTCTTTTGGGGAAGAGACTAAATATTTAACAAAGAGGAAACCTTCCAAACAACCCGCTCATGTTCTTTTTCTTTCTACCTGGATTATTGAGATGCATCACTATATGTAGGTCAGATAAATATTTGAAAAAAGTATAGCTATTAATTGCTCCGGGATTAATCAATACATTTGACAGAACATTAGCCCAAATCCTCACACAGAACACATACCATCCTGTGTCCAGGCAGAGTGTGTTTGTGTGTACGTGTTGTATTCAAGCAGGAAACATGCCCAGACCTGAATGCTGACGGACAACCTCTGTAAGACGATTACCAACATGTTCAGCAAAAAACCCTCCACATTTAGCCAAACCTAGCTGACACCCCTGCCACACATCATTCACACACTCCAGTACACACATTTCTCCATAGCAGGATGGTAGATCTTATATCGTAATACCTGGCTGTTCACAGGAAACTTTGAGTCTGAGACTCAGCCTTTTGTTGGTGGCTTCTCTGGAAGGAGGAATGCAGGAAAGGTGGGTAAAGTAAAAGTTGCAGAGAGGGGAAGATAGTTGAAGATGCATTTCCAGTCTTGGTCTTTATGTCCTGGATGAAATGTAGACCGTTTCCAGGCCTCAAGATAAGATGTAAAGTTGTATGTGTCATTTTTCTACATGTTTGTCTAATTATATATGATTATGTCTGGATTCTCACCTTGTTAGAACCTTGTTAGTATGTAAGAATTGTACTGAATTTTCTTTGTATGTATCAGAACCAATACCTAAATATTTGGGTTTGATCGTTAAAAAATGTTTGAACTTCATTGATGTGATCATGACTGATGTTAGATGTGGTTATCACCTTTTCCCAACTCATAAAAATCTTTTATTAATGATAACCAATTTTTTAAGCATGTTTCACGACATCACCAAAACTATATTTAGTCTCTGTTACTGATGTTGTAAAAAGGTTTAGCTCCAATGTTGTGACTGTAACGGAATAAAACTACATCCATTATAACTCTGGGTATAGGTATATTATTTTGTGCTTTAACCATTTGTCCTGGGGTCAATAACCCAAAATAACAACCACAAACTTCTGCAGCATTGGCAACCCACAGAGTTTCAGTCCATGAAAGCTCCGTTTCACTGCCTAATGACTTGCAATTTAAAAGGAATCCATCAATTGATACTGAGTATGTTAAGAAAATGCTCATAATATTTGGATGCCGACGCAAGCAAACATTTCTATTTATAAAATATTATACCTATTTAGCTCTGAAGAACCATAGCATTAAATAACCTAAACATTGAACTGAATGGAGGCAGTGACATTCTGTATTCAGTACATCCCCTCTTGCCCATTAATGGATTTATTTATGTGATTATTGTTGTAAAAATGATCATGCTTAACATATGTTAAGAGCTGAAGAAGCCTTTTAGATAAAAGGAAAAAAGGAAAAAAAAAGGAAAAAAGGAAATCTGAAAAGTCCTGTGCCATCTGCTTAAACACTTTGAATTGTCACACACCATCAAATCTATTTTATCCCATTAATTTACATTCAGCAAACAAATGGAAGCAATAAAATCCTGCATAGACTTGACATTTTTCAAGCAAAAAATGGTTCTTGCATAGTTTTAGATATGGAGTAGCAACAAATACTTTCTAAAGCATAAAAAGGCAGCCAAGACTTATTGCTTTAGTTTGGAGAAGCCAATATTTTGGGAAAAACTGAAAGCATCACCAAGTCAATATACTTTAGAGGTTTACTCAGTTTTCAGACAGCTGTGTTGCTCTTTGGTAAACAGACATGATAAAACACCACAGAAATGTCTCCTTTTCCGTATCATTTATTTTTTGGAATTCAGATCGGGTTAAGGGAACAAATGTGCAAAATTGTACTGATAAGAGTAAGTGCATCATGTGTGTGTTTTTTTTTTCTTCTGCAGGTGAAATCAAGTCCCAGACCTCACTGTTATGGACTAAGACAGTTTTCTGAAAGAAGTACATCAACAAGGATCTGAAGAGACTCTTAAGAAATTGATTTTCTAGCATCAGTTCATTTCAATGGACCTTTTTAAAAGCAGTGCAAGATATTTTGAAAGACATTTGGATATCTCCTGATCTGAGAACTGCTACTACGACTGCAACTGCAGATTCCTTTTTTTAAAATATCTGCCTTGTACCCTTTTTTTTTAAATCTATACCTTCTCAGTCTCCTCATCCTCCCTGAAACTCCATAGAACTTTAGAAGCGTATTTGTAAGGATCTGAATAAGAATTTGACTTTTTAACTGGACAACATCGTTCACAGACAGCGCCGGGTTCTTTCGAGTCTGAAGTCAACTGTTTTACTTAAAAAACCTTGTCACTCTGTTAGACCTCTGGCATCACAGGCCTGTCAATCACACTGTACATCGGCCATTATGGAATCTATGGCAGCCAGAATGGCCATGGTGGCCGACTCTCCCAACCTGTCGCTGAAATCTAGTACTACCCTGGGAACAGAGGAAGACTCTTTCGTGAGCACTGTCAGCTTTGTCTGCAACCACTTCCTGTCTGCCAACATCATCGCTGTCGGTGAGTGTTTTCCTTTGTGATCTGCAGCTGATAAGTGCCTGTTTCTCTAATTGAACAACACATGTCACGTGTGAAGTAAATAGTTTGTGGACTCTGCTGAAAAGTCTCATGGGTTGTTGTCTGCTGTGATGCATTTGGGTTGGTTTGAAAAAAAAAAAGTTCAGCTGTTTGTTTGATTTTAACAGCTGGTGAATTATTTTCAGATTATTGAAGGGACTGTATTGGATGATTAACTAAAGTTCCAAGATTTCTAAATGCTGCAGAAAGCTGAGGCTGCTAACATGAATGCTAATGTCTCTTTTATCATCTATAACTCGATTGACTTCCTTTCTGGCTTTATTCTTGTGCCAAAGGCTTCTCAAGAGATGGCTCCCCTCTGCCAGATTTCTGACTGATAAACAGCAATAAATGTTTTATTTTCAATGATTTTCAGTTAGAAAGTAGCAGAAAGTGCAGCCTTATTATGAGGCTTGTCTTAAAATAAAAAAAAGACTACAAGATTCTTGTTGCATGATGAGTCCCAGTCAGGAAAATCTACGGTAAGTTACGGTCAGGGCAAAAACTCTGTTTGTGTGAGCCCAGTGATGGAGGAGGTGGTGGGGTCCGGGGTGGGGGTAGCCTCACCCGAACTCAGCTTTATGAAATAAAAATGATTGCATATTTTCATTTTATTTGGATGCAGGAAAATTTGAGGTTTGTTCTGTAAAAGGTTATGAATTAGTTTACAGATCTGGTTAAATCAGAGTCTACAAACATTTGAGGTGCTGTGACTCACTTTGCTGTACAGGCTGGAATACTTAATGAAAAAAAGTACTGCCTTAAAATCCAATTTTTTTTTATCTATTTCCTAGTTTGACTTAATATTAATCTCCAGCAGTTGTTAAAATAATCTTTTTAGCAGTACGTGTGGCAAAGGAGTGAGACATGTAAATCTAACCCACCAGCTGACTCAAACAGCATGCAGCATGAAAGCAAGAACAGAATACATTAGCTGAGTTGAACTGAAAATGCATCTGTGTGTATAAATATTGTTGTGTCAAATACAAATCAAACATGACTGATAGTTTGACCTTTAGCTTCATCAGGGCTTTTGTGGTACCATCAGGCTAAATGGACCACATGCACTAGTAAAACTCAAAGAAATTAAAGCAAGGTTCTGCGCTGCAGCTTAAACAGGGAAAAAGACACGTTGAAATCATGGAGCTGATTGCTGCCTAAATAACAAAATCACTGCAAAGGTCAAGAAGGCAGAAGAAACATTTGTGGTCCTTGGAAGATGGATTTTCTTGCTGCTGGAGTCGCTGTGCTTTGTTTGTCTGAATGGCTGAAAAGGACAGAAATGTCACTCAGCAGCAGTCAGAGTGTCGGATGTGGAGTCCTGCTGCAGGACTACCACAGAGAGAGGGGAGCATGCCCTGAATACACTAATCGTACCACCGCTGCTCTATTTCAAACAATGTTTCTCTGTGAAAACACAAAGAATAGAAATAAGGGAATAATAACTAGAATTACCACTGAGGATAAAACAAGGATGAAAAACCAACAAAAGCAAAAAGAACGTCCATGTTTTCATTTCAGATTTCACAAACTCCTCCAGCTGATTTTGAATATTGATCCTTAAATTATTTAGGAATTAGATGGTTGTGTTGTGCTAAAGGTGAAGGCAAATGTACTTGCTGTTAAGTGGTAAGTCAGAACTTACAATATTTTAATACAGATGTATTTATATTTCTCTAAAGATTTAAATGATATTAAAAAAAAGAAAAATATGAAAAGAATAGATAAATATTAAAATCACAGAGAGCTACTTCATTGTATAGCCAGAAATAAAAAAGGGATATTAAAATAATATTTAATCTAAGCTAAATCAAATCTAACTATATTTTGCTACCAGATACAAATCAATGATCCACTCGTCATTTTCCTGTTTTTTTGGAGCTGTTTTTTCTGTATGGGTCATATGTTTGGCATTTTAAATCATGATGAGTTCGCTTGAGTAACTTCTTCAGTATGAGATCTTAGACAAAATTTTGATCGCTTGTGATCTAAATCCACAATCCTTCTCCTCTGTTCAGTGATTGCTTTCATTGTTATGCCATGGCTGCCCAAAGTCGGCCCTCAAGGGCCGCTGTTCTGCAGGTTTTAGAGGCTTCAGCACAGGGGATTATGATGATTGCATCAGCCTGTTAATTGGCTTTCAATTGAAATTAGTTGTGCTGAAGCCTGAAAAGACCTCTAAAAACTTGCAGGACAGCGGCCTCGAGGGCCAGACTTCGGCAGCCCTGCTTTAAGCAAAGATGTCTTCTCTCTTGTTTTAAGTGATCTGTCCTCTTTGTCCAAAATCTGAAAAATCAGACTTTAGCTCAATTTTTCTGAAAATGTTTTGATATTCATCCAGTAATCTTTTTCTATTGTAGAGCAGTCTGTAGTCGTAACACCTGTCTGTCTACTATAGACTGACATTTTTTCGGGAAACCCATGGGTCACGGGATTCCCGTGGGATTCCCGTGGGATGGGAGTCAGTATTAGTAACGATCATGGGATTGGGACGGTACAGGATTAAACATTAACGGGAGCACACGGGAGCGGGAGCAAACCAATAGTAACTTCCGCTCTGAGTTTTTTACCCGCGCTCAAAAACAACAAGAATGGGAGTGGTGCAGGAGCGGGAGTCATTCTGAATGGGAGCGGGATGGGAGTGGGAGTAATTTCACCAGGAGTAGGACGGGACAGGATTTAGATTTCTACTCCGGCCCGGGATTGGGACGGGACACCATTTTTTTCTGTGGGAGTGGGACGGGACAGGAGTGAAAATCCACTCCCGTGTCAGTCTCTACTGTCTACCTGAGCACATTTCAAGTTAGATGCAAACTGAAGATGAGAAAGTCCAGTTGCCTCTGATTTAAGAACATATGCACAGGACTTTCTTTGAAAGTTTCAAATATATATAAAAAAAAAATTTCAAATTCTGGGCAGCTTTCAAAGAAGAGCCTTAGTGCAGAAGAAATGTTACCTCAGAAATAGTTATTTTTTTTCTGACTATAAATCAATGGCCTGCACTTTATATGTGGTACAGCCCAAAGTTGAGTGGGAAAGGAGCTTTTTAAACTCCTAACTCTATATCTATGCAACAGAGTGTCTCATAGAAGCAACTATTGATACCATCTATATTCTCCCAGGATTATCCCTAGGCTTAGTCCAGGTGCTACACTGTTTTCTGTGACTTATAATAGTGATGGAGCAAAAAACGTTGCTTCTGTCTCCTTGAACCCCAGTCGGCCTCAGCAGATGGCCGCTCACACTGAGCCTGGTGCTGCTGGAAGTTTCTTCCTGTTAAAAGGGGGTTTTTCCTGTCCACTGTCACTACAAGCATGTTTAATTTGAGGGATTGCATTCGAGTCAATGAGTCGATGCAATCAACTGGTTTTCCTTAGATAGAAAACTTTGAATCAATTTGACTGGATGATCTGGTGAACTATAAAGTGCCATGACATGTGTTGTGAATTGGTGCTATAGAAATAAACTGAATTGAATGGAAATTGAATTAAACTATTGGTTATTCCTCAGAGAATGGCTCATTATTTCAGAGCCACCCTTAAGTTTCTGTAAAATGTCTAATTTTTTAAACAAACAGAACCCTGTCCCAAACTGACCCTCCATACTGAAGCCAAAAAGCTGAGCAGAACTGAACAATTACACGAAAAGTAAATATTCTTGAAGGGACAAAGGGAAATGGATGCTAGACTGTGGATCATCCACTGATCCATAACTACAGACGTGTGTCTACATCTGATATTCAGTGGGTGTCCTGCAGAGCAAATGTGCTCCGTGCTATGAATGATGAGGATGATGGTTGGAGATGATGGCTGCAGGTGCGTGAAGAATGACTGAGAACATTTTTCTGTGTTTACCGTGGTCCCGTACTGCCCAATTTCTGCCTCTGCTGCTTTATATGTAATTAAAAACCATCTGCCATGTCTCTGCACAGTCAGTGGTCTGTCAGTCTGAGGCTGTGTGCTGAGGAGGTAATGTTGACAGAGCACACAGCAGAAGCTGAATGAAGTCATGTAAAACTGAGCTGCACCAAAGGTTCATTTCAAACTTAGCAGATTCTTTCTCTTTCCTATTAGCATCGTGAAGCCAACGAAAGGGATGTTACATAGTAGGAGGTCAGTTATTGCAACTTTTTGAGAATTTCCTGCTTAGTTCAACTTTACATTGCTTTTCCGATTACACGGTTCCTACAGCATAAGGCAATTTAAATTCAAGACTTTTTAAGACTTTTTAATGCCACTTGAAATAAAAATTTAAGACCAAATTCACAAGAAAAACAAGAAAAACCTGCTTGCGACAACTTCACCAAACGGTTTATTATAACATAAAGCACTGCACTGATGTTTCAAATTTTGAAAAGCTTCCCATACAGGAAGAAAGCTAAAAACACACAAATGACAGATATATTTTAACAATTATTTAACTGAATTCACAAACTTTGTTTTAGCAGGGCACAAAACAAATCAGTTTTAAAGCCACAACATAACCAGTGCTAAGTCTTTTTTGCAGCTATTTTTCTTTGTATCGTTTTCTTAGTATGTTTGATTTGGTGATAAGTGG